TGGCTTAGAAATTTGCGTTCCTTTCCTTCCTGTCACTTGCCAGCAATATATGGCACTCTTCCCCCTTGTAGTTTGCAGTTGGCTGGGCCCTGAGCCATGTGAGACTGTTTTTAATGGCAGAATCTTCAAAGTTGTACTTAAAATATTTGCATCATAAAACCCTTCATGGAAGCTAAACTGCAGTTTCAGGAGGAGCCTTCCAGCCAGCAGCAAACTTGCCTAGGCTACAGAGGGCTCCTGCCACCAGTGCCACCTTCCAGCAGCTGGCCCTCCAAGGCTAGGGATAACCCCAGAGCATCAGATCACCGTGAGACATCCACAGAGTCTGGGAACAAACTCCAAATGGCTTTTGTGAGCCAGCAACAGTGTGAGGTGTCTCAGCAGTTAGTTGAGCAATTCGGAAAAGTGTGTTTTTCACACATTTAATTGATCCTGTGAGCAAATAAGTGCTAAGGATGAAAGATGAGTAACTGCAACCGCACAGCGGGAGGCCTTCCTTCTGTTTCTTGCACTCGTCTCCCGTGTCCAGTATGGAACAGACCCGTCTGAGGAGGGACAGGCTAACGCGCATATAACTTGCTTTAGAAATGAGGAAAAAGTGATCATTTAAATCTGAACTAAGAAGAGGACGGGGGAGGAAACTTGTAAGGAAAGGCAATTTTCTCCTTAGCAAATGATGTTTGATGAATAGCACCATTAATGGAATCCTTTAAAAATGAAATTCTCCACTATAGGGTTTAAACAAAAGAAACTAAATTTATGGATAAAGGACACCTTTAGTTTTTTACTTTCCTGAAAGGGATATGAAAGCTGAGGGAAAAGGAAGAGCAGGGGAGATGAATGCTAGCTAGACGATGATGAGTTTTGGAGGGAAGACCCTTCTAACAGAAAGTTAAATTCCATGTGGAGTACAACGACAATCTCCCACTTTTTCCATGAGAGCTAAAGTAAAATATCAGTTTCTTGTTAAAAAGAAAAAAAAAAAAAAAAGCTTATGCTGAGAATTATAACTCCCATCCTCCATACATTAAAAAAAAAAGTCAGTTTAATTCAGCCAGCTTTGTTATCTAATCATTACTCAGTGCTGAAGGTAGTTTTCCATTAACGCGTCTCCATCACTCTTACTTTCTGACCTGTGAACGTTCTTATTAGCTACCTTATTAAGATGATAGCCTGTCTCTGAAATAAGAAAAGAAGATTATCTCCCTACCTGACATGTCATCATAAGAGTAATCTTTTTGGGGGGGTTGGGGGGTGGGGAGGAGAAAAAAAAAAAAGCACTGACTGTTAAATAGTCATCTGAATTCATGGCACACCATGCTGGACATCCATAGTGGACTATATACTTAGGAGAGTGGAATCTGTGACTTACTCTTCCAGAAACTAAGTGCTATCTGTTTCATCTTAGGCTGGTTCTGACTGCGGGCAAGACCTGGGTTTTAAGAACTCATAGGGTGAAATGAGGAACACGTTAAACCAGACAAATATAGACACATATAAAATTATAGAAATATGCTACATATGCCTGTTACACACACACACACACACACACACACACACACACACACACACACACGTACTCTAATAAAAACTACTGAAGGAAGGGGAACAGTCCGGAAGATAACCATCGTATCTAGGTAAATCACAAGCAACGACATATGGACAGAGAAGCCTCAGTGACCCCTGGTCTCTTTCCTTAGCTTTGTTTGCAGACTCATGGTGGTAGACAATCACCAAGCACACGGCTGACAAAGTGGTCAGCTCAATTTGCCTATTCTCTGCCCCTTTTCATAAAGGGTTTCCAATAAAGCAAATTTCTCCCACTCAAAGAAGCAGACGATTCATTGTTTTACTGTTTCTGATGTGATGTAGTTGACTTCCTTGGCAGAAACACTGAGCAGCCCGAGTCCCAAGCTTCTGCCTGTTCGCGGGGCAGCTGGGACAGCCACCGGTGCTTTGGCCTCTCAGCGGTCTGTGGTCTAGGGGAAGGGGTGGGCAGCGGTGCTTAAAATGCATATAATATAGGTACATTATATGTTATTTCATAATTTATATTTACATGTAAACCTTTATAAGACTACATGTAGTCTTAATGGACTGAGCGGTGATAACGTATTGGTGGGACCATCTTCTCTGAGGGACAGCTGAGTTACTCCACTTCCATCCTCTTCTGAGTGTGGCCCTTGGGGTTACCTCCTATCCCCTTTTGTGATGTGGCGTGTCTCCCTGCTGCTCGTGCGTCTCCCTGCTGCTCAGGGCAGAGCACAGTGGATCTGCAGACCATGCTTAGCCTGGCTCCTCCTGGAGATGCCCTCCTTCAGGGACCTGTGTGAGGCCTTGTGACGTGTTCTGGGGCCAGAGGTCAGTTCACGTAGCCGAGAGTGCTTCATGGAGTGCATTCGCACCTCCATGCTGACTCAATTTATCTGTTCCTACTTCTCAGTGTGGCTCTAACTGTCAATATTAATCTACAAATCCCTTTGTGATTTGGGTCACCACAATACTCAATATTTCTTCTCCTGCTCTACTTCTGTCAGTTGAGATTAACAACCTTCGAATTTTGGCAATTGCAAGGCACCTCCTGGTCAGTGAGAAAATTAACAAATCTGTCCATCTTCCTTTCTACTTTCCCACACCTTGCATGCATCCAAGAACTGAAGACGTGTATTTCCTTGGCTTGCTATACGCCTCTCCTTAGGAATCTCCAGGTGACAGAATTTGGACTCAGCGACAGGGTGAAGGCTGCAAGGATAACCCACTGATACTGGGCATTCCTCAGGGAGGGTACTTTCGATAGGACTTTGCAAAGCTTGCCTTTCGGGCAGGGACCACATCTACACTCGTGCACAAGACATACCTAGGATGCACTGCCCTTCATGCCACCAACGCACCGTCCAGATACTGATGAATGTCCATCCGAATTAGTGAAGCCTTATTTCATGATTTGGGAAATGAGAACGAGGTTAGTATTGGAAGTGGATTGGGTCTGGACATTTTTCTGGGCTCGCTGTATGCAAGGCTAGGACTCAATCAACACATTTGGCTTGTCGAAATGATCCAAAGGGATCAAAGGGCAATAATAGAAATATTTATGTAGTTTCCTATCTAATTTTTCTTTTGTTCCATTCTAGCTATTGGCTTCCTCAATTCAGCATCCCCCAGGCTTCTTTCAGCAGCCTGGGCTTCCCAGTGAACTCATTAAGAAGATCCTTCTCTCCTTCCCCAACCCTCTCTCCTCAGGTGTTCAAATAAGCAATCAATCACCCACTTGAGTGTTTGCACACAAACAGATATGAGGAAACTTTCAACTTTTGCTAAATATGAATAAAAATAAAATCCACAACTGCTAACACACTAAAAAAAAAAGCTAGGAGAGTTTCCACAGGAATACTACAGATACCACAAACAACAGGAAGAAATATGCCTTTTATTAGAAGTCTCATATGTACAGAGAAAGCTGTTTCCCACAGCTCAGGGAAGGCTGTGAGAAAGAGCTGCTGTCATTCAAGGTCACCACGCTTACATTGGTTAATACCATTGAAACATCGCCTCACATTATGAACAAATAGAACCATTACACAGAAATGCAAAAGAGACATAGGTATGTGTATGGACACTTCACATATTTTCTAAAAACAAGTGGACACAAAAATACAATGTGTCAGTAAAAAAAAAAAAAAAATAGGCATATCAGTACATGTCTTTTTTTTTTTTTTCCTTTTCTTTTTTTGTTAATACATGGTATGCTGAGCTTTCATCTGAAGCTTTTTTTTTCACGTCGGGATTTGCAGGCACTTTAGCAACCCAGCCATGGTTTACAATACATGACGCTGAGACCAACAGATGGAAACACGGGGCAACCGAGGGCCTTGTGACTCACACACATGTTAAAATATTGAGAGAACAATCTTTTGTTACCATTGTTTGGGGACACCAGACTGTTCTCTTTGTGATGTGTAACCGTTTTTCCCTTATTTGTCTTTCCTGTTCCATGGCAGAATTATTGAGTAGCATGGATGGCATCACCAGGCAGAGAAACAGCATGTGGATGCACTAGACGCCCGTCAATTCCAACTGATTTAAAAAACGGTAGAAAGCAGATGAGTTTTTAGAATCTCCGAACGACTGATTTATCTTTGTCGCATTCTATGCCCTTCTTGCCAACCTGTCAATCAAAAACTAATTAAAATAATTATTGGGATGTAATGGACCAGAAGCTCGTCCTGGGGGAATTCTTAGTACCACCTCTGACACCGTGACACACACAGGTCTGATGGGCAGGCCCAGTCCTTCCTTACCAGGGGTCCCTCCTGTCACCCACGCTCCCTACACAGAGCTGTGGTGACTCAACATGTGTATTAGGAACATGATTAAACAAGTGTATGTATAAACTCAGACCAGAACGATCACTTTATTGGTAATGGTGAGTCATAAGGCAGTTACAAAAGGATCCCCACGATGACCAGACAGTATTGGAATATGGCTTAGCTTAATAGCATGAAGGAACTTTCCTGTTACAAGCTGCTTAGAAAGAAAAGAGAAAACCATACCGATTATAAAGTAACCATAAATGACTGTGTTGTGAAGTTCTGGAAAGCCCCAATTTCTGATGTATGTCACCCGCTTCCAACCACCAGAGACTGAGATGTCACCTCACATCTCACAAAACTTAAAGGGAAAAAAAAAGGAATCGACATTACCTTCGCTTCAAGGTAATTTCTCACCACTAGTTGTATGGGGCTGTAACACAAAGCCATGAACATCTCATGAGTCGGGCCAAGAATTCCTGGTCCTCCAGAGAGATGCAGAGCATGTGAATGCTTCGAGCAGATGATTGTCAGATGGTGGGAAATCCTTCCAGGAAATACACTTGAGACATACTGGCAAAGACATTAAGGCCATCCATTTCTTTGCCCATGCTGCTTAAAGGCACTGATACCAACAACAGAAATATTCCACAGTACCCTCGAGGTTTTCAAAAAACTCCCCAAATACAAGTCTTCATAGGAAGATGTCCTTTATTGCATGATGTGAAGCATCCACTCTTCTCCTGCTCAGGAATAGAAGGGCCTCCCTTTCTCAGGAGTCTGCAGTCTGTTCAGCCTAGCGACCTGAGAGGGGGACGGGGGCACGTCCTGCCGGAAGGGCCCCTTGGGAGCACTGTAAGTGGGGTCCTGCACTTTCTTATACGAGTCATAGTTGTTGAGCCCCTCGGGAGGAGGAGGGGGCTGCTTCTTCATCTGTTGCTCTTTTCGCCTCTGCTCCTGGCGAAGGAGCTCCTGAGTCTCCAGCATCACCCTGGCGTTGAAGCCGTGCCCACCCAGGTAGCCGTTTCTGGAGCCCTGGTAGCTGGAGTACCTGGGGTTCTCCTTGGCACTCTGGAAGCCTTCCCCCGGGGCGTAGTTCTGCTCCCAAGAATCCTGGGAGACAGAGCTGGCGTTTTTCCTGCTTTGCCTAGAAAGCAAAGCCTAAAGGTCAGTGTGAGGGTTGGGAGAAGGGGAGAGAGAAAAAGAGGAAGGACGGGGTGAGGGAGGAGGGGGTGAGGAGGAAAATTATTTCACTATTTCAACAAATATTATTGTGTTCTACTCATGGGCCAGACCCTGAGATGGAGGCCGGGGGATGAAAACAGGACTGCCCGCAGCAAGCCCACGTCTTAGACAAGGGAACAGACAAGGGCTAAACAGGAGAGCGAACCAACGGATGAGCTCTTGAGAAGGAGGGTCCTTCTGCGTCTGGGTAGGTCCTGTCTGTTCTGCTCAGGGTAACATCTATCTCCTGTAATTTAGACACATTGGCAAGATGCCGTATAGGAGGATTAAAGATTTGGCAGCTCCTGTCCCAGCAATAACTGTTCGCTTTAGAACGTTATGATTCAATTCTAAACAAATAAAACAAATATCTTACGCAGCTGCCACCATAATGCCAGAGATGCTAGCTAATAGGAAGTACATGCAATGGATTACAATATGAGTTTAGTCATGAAAGATTTAAGTCTAGACTGCTTTATGATTAAAGATGCAATAGGCAGTCCCTTAAAGCCCCGGTTTTTGAGCTGTATATGTCAGCAACTGTCACTCATCAGAATACACACTCATCAAGATTTTAGCACCTGGACGTCTGTAGAGTAAGCATTCTTTTCCTGTGTACTGTACCCTCACCAAAGACCGGGATAACCCACTAAACTCCCTTTGGGAACCACAGGATAGGGAAATATATCAGAGTCATATAGAAATTTCAAATTCTTATCACTTGTGCAATAAAGTTGCACATCCTTTTCAGGAAACATTATTGTTTTGAAATGTCTTTAATTTACTATCGAGTCTCTAGATGCTTTTATGAATTTACAATAAGATTGGCTATGATAAAGTAAAACAATTTTGTGCCAGACAGGAAGACATGCCCTAATTTTTAGCCTTGAAATGGAAGAGAGGGAGAGAGAATCGAGTCATAAAACAAAATATATTGCTCCATTTATCAATAAGAAAATCATTTGGCGACGGTGTGTATTGCTCAGCCTTTCGCATCAACACACACATGACAGGATGTTCAAAAGGACTCCTGCAGAGGAAAACAGAGGCTGTGCAGTCACTGGGTCTCCCCTGGGAATGAAGCAATTTGCATTTTTGAATATTTGCAAGTGCCATCAATATGGTTTGGGATGAAATCTGCCCATTTTCCATATGGCCTAAAATGTAGTCGGGGATATTTTCATTATGGAAAAGAAACGAATGTCCATGCCATCTCTGGATGTGACTGTGATTAATCGAGTGGCCTGCAGTATCTCTATCTGGTTCTCTTTTAATGGGAGGCAGACCATTTCTACAATCGGCCCAGGCAAGAAAACTTACATTGGATGAAATAGTTTATTTGTCCAAAGCACTGATTATCTTCACTTAAAAAGTCATAAATTAATCTGCCCAGAGACAGGAATGATGGAAAGTGCCAGCATGAAACCAGGGATTTGACATTAATCATGAAACTTTAATTAAAACAACGAACTTGTTACGGATGTCACAGCAACAAAAGTGGGTTTCTTTCATGAGCTGGTTATCAATTTAAAGATAAGCAGAAATGGGCTGTGGACATTTCACCTCTTTTTCATCCTGGGCCTGCTGAGGTCCACTAACCCTCCCCGTCCCCCACTCCCAACTCTGTAACGCCTGAGGCTTCACTCTATGGAAGTCAGGCACTCTAAGTTGAATTTTGAATCATTCCAGGAAGAAAGAGTCTTTCTAAATTTAAACACATTGAGAACTCGCTAAAGGTTTGTTAGGATGGAAATTATGATGTGGGAGAAGGAATTTCTTGTAGCTAAAATTTTCTTCAAATTAATCAGTATAGAGAGAAGGAAGCAGACCTGCCTGAGGTTTGAAGTAAGATATGTGCAGAAAGTACACATACAAGTGTACACACACACACACACACACACACATACACACACACACATACACACACACGCTTCCTTGATAAGGAAGCTAGTGGTGTTAATAGCTCTTGATTAAGAGACAAGAAATGAGCAGATCATAGAGAAACACAAAAAAGCAGCAAAAAATAAGTTTTCTACGCTAGAAAAGTAGTCACCTAGGCATAGTGGAAGAGTGGCTTAGGATCAAATAGACAGATTGAAATCCTGAGTCTGCCGCTTGCCAGCTATGTGATGATCTCTGGGCCCAACGTGCTTTACCTGTGAAACAGGCCATACCGTCTAGCCTCATGGGGGTATGGGGGAGAAATCAATGAAATAACATGTAAAATGTTTAGAAGGTGTGGCATAGAGTAAAGGGCCGACTATTGGGTGTTGGAGGAGTCGTTTGAATGCAGCGTCACTCTGCCTTCAAAGCGCAGGCTCTGGGTTTTGGAGGGCATCTTTCTGATCAAAGAAGTAAAATAAACAATAACATTTGCTCCCTCTTCCTTTGTCAGAGGGGTCAGGTAGAGACAAGGGGAGAGAAAGGCACTAGAGATTAACTGAAGAACCCTCATCAGTGAGAGAAAGTCCACAAACAGGTCCACAGAGATGACAAGCAAACCTTGATTGCTCAACGCCACAATAACAACACCGGCAAGGAGTGCCAAAACATACTGCTTTGAGTTGGTAACCAACACACAGGTTTCTTATCGACATTTCAAAATGAAACTTGAATTCTGCCTATAGGTCTCCTTAATTACAGTTAGATTTCTAAATCCACTGAAGGCACAATACCCTGCTTTGGCAATAATGATCTCTCAATGATCTTAACCATTGGTGGTCTGAAGACTATTACCATGTAGGGAACTTTTGCCAAAGACCCAGGGCCCGAGGAAAGCCAGTTATCCGCCGAGAGGAAGGGGTCACAGAAAGATGAAGAAAGTTGTGAAGACCAAGGCTGCCACGTTAACAAGTAGCTCAGAGACAATTAATAAATGGGCCCAGTGGGGAGACCAGGTCAGGGTGTGAAGACCCAGCCAGGGAGTGAGACGTACAAAGCAAAGAAGTGAGACACCAATGGACATGGAACCAAGGGTGTAAAGAGGAAAGAGAGATAAATAAAAGAAAAGAAGAGAAGAGAAGAGAAGAGAAGAGAAGAGAAGAGAAGAGAAGAGAAGAGAAGAGAAGAGAAGAGAAGAAAAGAAAGAAAAATATTCAATAAAGGATCTTATATACGTCTATCAGTGACTAAAACTGAACATACTTCTACTTGGTTTGAGAGTTGTCTTTTTGGATACTAAATAAAATAACTAATTTAGGAATTTAAAAAAATAAAAGACAAAAATCCTGGTCTGATTGAGAATTGAGGCCACTCAGGGTCCCTTTCCTTTGGAACTAGTGTTACCACCTGGCTAATGTTTCTTATTGACATTTCAAAATGAAACTTGAATTCTGCCTATAGGTCTCCTTAATTACAGTTAGAATTTACAAACCACACTGGCTCACATACATCCCTCTAATTCAAACCACCTTATCTACTGTGACTGATACAAAGTCCTGACCATTTGTTTTATTTTATGCTCCACTTGGCAACCGAACTATTTTTGTGTATGAAATCTTTTTCGGTATCGAATGCCATACCAACTTGTTTAGACAAAACTCCACTAATTGTCAACATCCGAAAAGCAGAGGTCAGGTGTCTCTGAAGAAAATCACATGTCAGAAACTTGGATCGGACCCGAGCTCACACAGGCTGCTGCAGCCCCGGCTTCCTGTTTGATTTCTTGACCTCCCTTCAGGTTTCTGCACAGACCTGCTGCTGAGAGGTGGCGCTCTGCTGGGTGCTGAGCTGGGCACAAGTCTCCGCATTCCTGATTTTCCTCACACATATAAAGTATACATCGAGAAATTATCCTCTAAAAGGAGAGAACGCGGCGTAGAGGCCTACCAGCCCCACTTGCCTAAACTTACACAATTCTTTCCTTTTGAGTTTTCTGTTGTTCTCATATCTACACAGAATAAAATGGCTAATAATAAGAGTCACAATTACCCAGAGGGAAAGTTTTAGTTATTTAGGGAAGCACTAAATGACGGCAGTGGTACCAATGGCAGCAATCCTCCATGGAATGCAGATACTTCTATCAGGAGCTACAGAAGGAGAGGGAGACAGAGGGAGGACAGTGGGGAGGAGGTGGTGGAAAAGCGGGGTGGACAAGAGGAGCCACCGGAATATTGGGCTACTAGGGAACGCGACCAGCAGAAATTCAGTGGAAGCGCCACACTGATCTTTGTCCTCTTCTCGAGGACTGGGAGCCCGCAGTCTCTCCCGCCAGGCCATCTGCCCGTCCCAGCCCTCCTGCCACCATGTCTACCACTTCCCTTCCCTAGTCCTGTGCATTTCCCAACTCCATCCTCTTCTTAATACACTTTGTGATATTTCTCCTCCATATCTTATAAATACTCTCAAATATGACTAGGACACATGAAGCCAAACAATCTGCAAACAGAATAAGATCCCAGTCCCCACATGGACAAGATAGTCTTACAGCAAATCACAGCCATTCGACAGGCTACAAGCCACCTGTGTGGCTATGGCACAGGGCCATGCCCGGAGTGTCAATTCACCCACATTATCATGCTCATCTTTTTGAGGGGATGCAAGTCGACAGTCTGGGAGAAGAGACTTCACACGGAGAACCTTCGTGTATAATCCTTGAAGTGCTCAGCAGTTTCTACATCAGGTTGGTTCATGTGGTGGCCCCTTTCCAAACACTAATATGTAAAGGGAACCTCACATCTACACCTACTGATATTCCCAACTTGGGAACCAAAGCTCTCGGTAGCAATGAGCCATATAAAACAATGGTTATAAAGGGCATGAGCAGGTTTGAGTTTGAATTGTCAGAATTATGTACTAGCTCTGTGACCTCAGGAAAAGTTGTTTAACCTTTCTGAGCTGTTTTGTTATAGGACAAGATGATCTCCAAGACCCGTCCAGACCTTAACTCCAATGACGCTACTTAGAGTGGCCTAAATAACTCTTGGTTATCCTCCTATTTAAAAGAAAAAAAAAATCGTTTATATCTCAAAAGAAATACAACTTTCTGAACTGAAAAATAACTGAATGAGTACGTTACTACAATAATGGTACTCGCCCCGGTACATATTTTCATTCACATCCGCACTCCCTTGGTGACCCATGTCAATGTGGTCAAGTCCCCCATGGTTATCACAGCGATTATTTAGCATTTATAGGGACACATGTTTATTAGAAACTGAATCAAGATCACTTTCATATTGGTCAGTTAAGGTGACACAGATAAGCATTTTGCCACTCCGCCCCAAAGTTGTTCTGCTCAAATTCAAAACAGTTGACAAAAACATAGTAAGTGAACTTTTTTTTCTACCCAAAATATTCTTGTCACCTGGTTTTGGACTAGAAGAACAAATGCCTGTAAGAATTGTGATTATAGGAGTGACTCGTTTTGGGAAGTGTGGAAAGCTCAACGTGTTTAAACACTTTTTTCTTCACTATGCCTGGAGGAAATACTTGGATGGAAACACGGCTGTCATTTCCATATATTAGGGCGCGGTCACCCAAGGGTTTTCTGGCCTTTTGCAGAGAACCCCCAGAGCGGAAGTGCCGCCATAGGGGAGCGCAGCAGACAAACCCTCCAGCTTGGCTGTCAGCTAACGAGGTGGTCACACTGGGATTCTCTGCGGATCAACACAGAACGAAAGCCAAGCTGGCAGGACAGCCAGAGAACAAGGTTTAGGACCACAGAGCCCGCCTAAGCACTGAGCACGGAGCATTCACCCCTATCCTTCTACAAAGCTCCACGGGTACAAAGTATCGATTAGTCTCATCACCCTACGAGCTAAGCAAAATAAGAGTTATCTTTCATGGCCTTGTCCATGGCCACGTGGTAGGCGGCGCACCCCATACTATAATCTGGGTCCAATCCCTAAGCCCCAGTAATCATAGGACGGGTCACTTTGCTTTCGGTCAGGGAGCTGCTGGGTGAAAATGCTGGCATTCCCTGAAACACCTTTCTTTCCAGTCCTCTTGCTACACAGTAAGATGGCCTCTAAGCTAAGCAACGACCTCGCCATCCATTTAAGGCTCCTCTCTGACTACCCTGTGGGAGGCGGAGAAGCCAATGCAATTCTGGAAGGAAGCAGGGATTTCCTGAGGACTGGGGGCAGGGGTATGTGGTAGG